AAAAAGAACACAGCAAAAGACAAGTGCTTGAAATGAGGTTCAAAAATTGCCACTGATTCTCATTACATTTAAAAAAATTGGCTTTACAAGAATTCTTTCACAGCCCCAAAGGCTGAACAAATGTACAATATCAAAAGGAAAACAAAAGAAAACAAAAGCCTAGTCTAGGCCTTGTCACTTGTCGGAGGGGGAAGAGCAGAATCAGCAGCCTTCTCGGGAGAGTCGGGGATCACCTTCAAAGATTTGGCATCGAAGTCAGGCAGAGCCACTGCAAGCGCCTTCTTGGTATCCTCAATCCCATCCAAGTAAGCCCTGGATGCGAGATCGGCCAGCTCCTTGGCCCGCTTCTCCACCTCCTGGGGCCTCTTCTCAACATCGGCAACTCTCTATTTGGTCTCCACAACCCACTTCACCACTTCCTCGGCCCTTCTCTCTGCCTCCGCAACCTACTTCTTTGCCTCGGCAGCATCTCCGTCGACCTGGTTGGCATGTCGCTTAGCCTCGGACAGGAAACTTTCGACATGAGCCCTCTCCATTTGCTCTTTGGAGAGGCTCTCCCACGCCTCCTTCAGTTGCGCCTGAGCCTCCATCTGGAACTTTTGCTCGTCGATGAGACTCTACCGGAGCCTATGGTATTTCTCCTCAGCGGTGGCATAGCTTGTTGGAGCTTCCCCTTCTCCTCCTCCAACTTGTCCATTTGAGACAGGGTCAGCTTCAAACGATCCTCGAGGCCAACGAAGTAGAGGTACACCTACATCAAAGGAACAGTCAGTATCCTATGATGAAGATAATAACCATGAAGCGATGGAAACAAGTGTTACCTCGACCAGACTTTGCAACCCTATGTTATAGATCTTCTCCGGGGTGCTCCCCAGCATCTGGAAACGATCTTGTGAAAGAAGAGCACTGGTCACAAGAGCCCGGCTGACCCTCTCATCCTTGATGGAGTTCTCCTTGCAGACATCCCATTGGGGGTGGAAGATCTGGCTGGACTGCTTGGCGAGCTCCTCCAGCGGCGTGGGGGTAGAAAACGGCCCCATTCGTTCCCTATGGGGCCTCCTTAGGTCATCCCCTGACGAACCCCCGGCATGGGCCATCTTCCGCGGTGGCTGATCCCCCACGGCCTCCTCGGTCGACCTCTTTTGCCCAACCTTGGTCTCTTAGGCGGGCTTCCTCGACCCACCGGTCGACTTCGACGGCACTTGTTGCTCACGCCTCATCTAGCCCTCCTCAACGGGCCTCTTCCCCTTAGTGGGGACTTGTGAAGTTGCGCCCTTCGTGGGAGCTACTAGAGTAGTCCCTTTGGCAGGGACCTATGAAACTGTCCCCTTAAAGGGGCCCTGACGAGAGGACCCCCCTTCGCCCGCTCCTTCTGCATTACGCGGGCTAGGGCTGTTCATAAGAATGCCCAACCCGGCCAAACCGACCAACCCGGACCGACCCAACCTGAGTCGGCCGGGTTTTCATCAGTATCAGTCGGTTTCGGGTTGGGCAAATATATAAACTGACTTGACCCGAACCGAACTAGTCTTCTACTAGTTCGGTAGTTCCTAGTTTGAGTGGTTTCCTACTTAACTATAACTAGTCTTCTACCAGAACTAGAAGGCCCATTAGGCAATTACAATTAGAATAGGCAATCTATCATAGTTTCTAACTTTCTATAGTCTTTTACACCAAATAGGCAATCCATTAGGCAATTACAATTAGAATTCAATTAGATGTCCTTTTGTACAGGACCAAACCGAAACCGACCCAAACCGACCCAACCCGACTCAAACCGACTAGGTCGGTTTGGCCTATCGAGTCGGTTTCAGTTTCCACCTCAGGTAACCCGACCAGGTCGGGTCGGTTGGGAAAACCCTAATAAACCGACCCAATCCGACCCGTGAACACCCCTAGTGCGGGCACGGTCCATCGGGGTCTTTTGAGCGTCCATCGACACCTCTTCAAACAAAATAAAGCTATTAGAAATGCAATGCAAAGAAGAGGACGAGAGAACGTGTTAAGGGACTACAGGGCCTCTTCTACCAAGGGGAGCAGAGTTGAGCCCCGCAAAGATTAGTGGGACCTCCTCCTCCACCAAAGGTTGGGCTTGGAGTCTCCCCAATTTGAGCAACCACGCGAGATCATCACTCTCCTCACTCGTGATCAAGGGGACACTTTTCTCCACAGCCTAGCTAACCTCTCCCCACTCCAACTTGAAGGACCAACCCTCGAGATAGGACAAAAAGAAAAATTAACCCTTTCAGTTATGCACAGAAGAGGGGTTATCTATAGGCTTGGTCCTATGGGGTTGAAGATAGTACATGCCACCTTCGGAAGAGTGCTTCCTCGACACAAACAGTGCTCAGAAGAGCTTCGACATCAATTCCACTCCCTAAAATTGAGCCACAACTAGCATCGCCACTATGGTCCTAATGGCGTTGGGCACCAGCTGGCTAAGGGTGACCCCATACGCCCTCAATAGTTCAAAGATCAACGGGTGAAGGGGGAACCAAAAACCGAATTGGAGGAAGTGTTGGTAAACCCAGATCTCCCCCTCCTTAGGAGTCCACGGCCGATCGCCCACCTCGAGCACCCTCATACCATAAGACAAGGGGATGAAGTACTTCCTCGCCAGAGCCTTGACCTGATCCCCATCCAGATAGTTTTCAAACCCTAGGCGCAGGAGATCGGTCTCGGATGCTACCTAGGTAGCACCCCTTAGCCCTCATCCCGAAGACAGGGTTTGGGGTCTTCTCCCCGTCGACTTGGGAGGACCCCTCAGCCTCCCTCGGCATCACAGATGCGGCGCTCTCATAGGAAGGGTCATCACCTCGACGGTTGCCTTCGACGCCCTTAGAGGCTACCCTCTCCCAAAGCACCTCAACCTCTTGCCGAAGGGGAGCAATGACAGAAGGGCTTAAAGGACTAAATCCTCAAAACCTTCGGCCCAACTCCAGAACCCAGGGGCAAAATTACTTTGTTGCCCTCGACCAATCCGAGCATCATCAATAATAAAATTTTTTTTCTAATGGGTTAGAAATTGTCAAAATTTACAAATTACCTACATCAAAAGCAAGTTTGGTGGTTACTCATGGGAGACTCAAAACTTTTCCAATCAATTTCAGTCTTCATTGCAATTACAATAGACAAAAACTAAGAATACAAGTTATTTTCATTATATTCCTTACAAGTTACAAATCCACCTTTACCACCCTCATCGTATGGAACCAATTGAAACTCTGTCAGGTATTGGTGCATGGGAGGCATACAATAGAAAACAATAGTATTGAAATTAAATCCAATCACATCAGGCCCCGTACTTACCAGGTAAATGTATTTACCCAGGTAAGTGTTTCCCAGGAAAGTATTACCCGAGTAAGTACATTTACCCATGTTCTTTTATTTCCCATGCAAACAAGACAATGACTATTTTAGCCATAAAAATCCATTATTATAAAGGGCATTTTTGTCTCATTTAAGTATTAGCAACTTCCCCTCAAGGTGGAAAAGTTATTTACCCACCTAGGAGATGGATACCCAAAGTAAGTGATACCCAAGAAAATAAACTTTCCCTGTTCCCATATAAATCTGAAAAAAGAGCATGTGATTCTTAGTCAATGGGAATCAAAATCCCATTAACCAACTTTCCCTCTCTCAAAATCCAAGAGAGCAACAAGTTTTATCGTTCTCTACAGTCTACAGTTTGCCAATTAAATATTGTGGCCAACCCCCAGGCCCCATGATGCTTTTGCAACTTCCTTCATGGGTCCCCCTACCGAGGTTCAAGTAGTTTTCTAGTCAATTGTTTATTTGTTGGGATGGTTGCTCTCAAGCTCTGACATAGTGGTATTCATTCATTGCCTATATATGAATTCTTCATTCTTCCCTGAAACAATTAGGTGATATTTGAAGTCTAGAGAAAACAATTTATGTGAACAATCATGGAGCCCGTTTGAGAGGGTTTCTGTGCTGATTGAACTGCATTGATTGATCCGCTTCAAAATACCTCTTTAGCTTTACCTCTAATGTCCAGTCCCCAGTTCAACAACACTTGTTTTTTGGCTTTCTGGGGTTTTCACCCAAAAGGGGCTTAGTTGGAAGCCACTGCAGAAAGCCCTCAAAGGACACAAAACAAACCTATATATGTAAGCATGGTTTTCAAAACCGGACCAGATGGTTGGGTCGAAAAAAACTGGGAACTGCTAGGTGATCAATTTCGTTTTTCTAAAAAACCGAATTTTTTATCCTGTCCCTACAAATTCTTTCACTCTTATATAAAATATTGATATCAATAAAAAAGAAAAGAAAAACTCAATCTCAATTAACATTCCTAATTTTTACTTTCTTGCATATTTAATTACAAAATGAATAGAACCAAAGGTGGGATCCCCAAGTTTCCTGAATATGGTTCCAGCACATAGTGGTACCAACGTACCATTATCCAATAATTTTGAACTTTCTCCTTTTGTCTGGACAAGTAGCTTGGTCTAGAATGTCCATTAGTATAGTTCACGTGCCCACAAAAACATACTTGTAAGCACATGGAACTCATGTCATTATATATGTCATGAACTAAAATTGTTCAGCCTAAAACTAAAACCTGAGTCGCGATTAACTGAATTATGAATTTAAGACATACAAAATTATATTTTATTGGCTCAACATAAACCCACAAGGCACAAACCCAAACCACGAACTCAAAATGGAAATCACAAGTATACATTCTAAAAAAAAGGCTTTTCAATAGACTGGTTGTCCTAGAATATTAGATTAGAAGATAATTTTGACCCTTCCAACGAATTCAAAATCTCTATTTAAAGGGAATAAATAGATAATCAAACAAATAAATAGAAAGAGAAAATGAAGAAATGAGATTTGATCAAGCAGAACCTGTAGATTCTTTACAGTTAGATTGGTTTCAACCCAAACCCGGTCCATTGATATTGGCTTAATCCAACCCAATCCAATATAAATTTGTTACCAATCCAATCTAATAAATATTATGGACCAACATGTCTTGTTGGTCTGTCCAAATTGATTTTGGACTAGAGGGGGTCCAATCCAAAACCGGTCCATTGACACCCTTATGTACAAGACATCATACATCACTTACTATTCAGAGTTTCACCAACAAACTTTGCAATGTTTCTGCACAGTTGACCTGAAAAAAGAAAATGAAATAAATCATAACCTGTTAAACCTGCTCAGTTTATCATGCATCTACATGTAAACACACCCTTATGAATACATATGCATTCAAATGAAAGAAATAAACATAATACCATGAGGTGATACTCAAAATGCTAGTGCATTGTATACAAATGACAAACCAAACTCTCTTTTGTTCATTCCCATTTTAAAGTGCTCCGATGGAAGGATGTAAACAGATTCGATCCAGCTACATCCCCATCTAAGATCCAATTACCAAACCTTTAGATTCAAATCTGTTATGAAATCTGATATCATGAATTTAAATTTAATCAGAATCCATCTATTGTATTTAAAATGACAAATAAATTTAAAAACTAATGGCTGTCATCCCAAACTTGGTGGAGAAGCTCATCCCATCTGGCCTAGCAAGTTTTTAGGCCTGGCCTTACATTTTGCATCCAGACTAGTCTTGACCCAGGATTGTACCTATGTGCCCATTTAGGAGGGTTAAAGTGCAGCCGCTTCTGTCTTTCCGAGGTGGGTCTCACAGGTCAGCCTATAAGCATCTTTCTTTTGGTCTACCTTCTGCCTCCCACATAGTGGTGCTTGGGTTGTCTCACTTTGAAGTCAAAACATAAATGAAAGGGTGAGAGAATATTCAGATAAAATAATCTGAGTAGAAAGGAACCTTTAATTTGATCACTTTTCTTGGCAATTTAATCATATAATCACAAAAAATTGCAACCCAGGAAAGGATCCATGAAAATCAATACCAATTCTATGTTCAACTTGGACATAAAATGAAGAATTTAACTATTCTAGAATTTGAAAGTGACCTATTTTTTGGGTAATTGTGATAAATATGAAGAAAACAAGCACGTATTTAATTAGTTTATTGAAGAAGGAAATGAGCTATGTACTGCATTACTTACCACAATATCGTTATTGATATCCCAAAGAACAGAGAAAGCAATGCCAGTTTTGATTTTTCTATCTCCATTATTAGCTCTCAAACTCTTCGCCAACTTGGTATGCATTAATAAGCCCTTTCCTAACTTCTACAGGATGGGCATTGGGATTCAAGGTTGCACAACAAGAATCCATTATAGTAGTAGCTTCACTGCTAGCTAAACTCTACAAGGTCGCAAAACAGTTGGTCTAGATGAAGGAATAAATTTGATAAAGCTCAAAGAAAGAGCCCTGACTCCAGATCCAGGGAAAATGGAATCCCTGGACACAAACAACAAAAGGTATCAAGTAGCAATTGAAACACCAGAGTCGTGGTTCACATAGACTTCAATGCATTGGAGGTGTAATTAGGGATCATAACTCAAATAGGAACCTTCGAAGGCCCCCATGGCACCAATACGTAGAAAATTTGTAAGAACCAAAATCCCTAAGCAGACGAATGTTTCTCATATACATTTGGAAGAGAGACAAAAGAAATGCAGAAACTTTAGGGCTACGACTTACCTCAAAGAAGCTTAAAGTATCTCTCGTTGGTGCCGTCATGCCAATTCAAAGAAGAACGAAGAGTAGACTCTCTCTCTCTCTCTCTCTATGTGCGTGTGTGTCACCATTGGCACCATGAACCACAGTAACCACTGTGTGTCACCATTGGCATCATGAATCACAGTAACCACAGTGTCAATAAGGGAACAACCAACAGACGAATTGCAACCCTTACCATGCACTAGATATAAAGCCATCTCCGTCAGAGAAGGAAGCCACTGCAACGCCTACCAACCAACAAAAGGAAAAGAAAACAACCTAAAAACAGAACCCATAACAGAGAAGAACTAACAAATCAACCAACAAAAGCAAAAGAAAACAACCAAAAAACAAAAACCCATAACAGAGAAGAACTAACAAATCTGAGAAGAACAAAGAGGAGAATGAGAGTATGCATTCCAAAGAGAAGATGTGGGGCACGCCCTATGGGGCGCTGATTTGCCAGACCTACGCTCCTTTGCACCTCACGAGGTGGAGAAGGAACCACAAGGCGTCGTGAACGGTGTCCCCCTCTCAACCTCTCTCTCTCTCTCCCTGTCTCCCCCTTCTCTCTGGCTCGCTCATTCTCTCTCTCCCTGACACCGCCCTCCTCGAACTGAAAGCGATTTCACCACCGCCACTGTCACGAGATTCAGACCTAGAGAGCTCTACAGCGGCTCTAGTTACTGCTGCTGCAAAAGCTGCTTATTCAAAAGCATCTTGTGCTGCAGTGGCAACATCTCTGTACTTCCTGATTTCATTGATCTTGGAGTGAACTGCTCATCCTTTTCTTTCTCCTCTACAAAATTATGTGTCTTCTCTCCAAGCCCAGCATCATCTAAGTTAGAAGATGGGCCTTGCTTGGGATGATTCTTCCTCTGATTCCTCTCCAATTTCTCCTACTGAGAATATTAAAAAAAAAAAAAAACAGTTATACATATGCCAAGATTAAACTGTATCTCTGGTTCTCTTAACACTAATTAACACAATAATCTACGCACCTTGGTAGCATCAGAAGAAACTTCCTCAAGATACAGAGTGATCCCGTTCTCGGTAGCAATTTCTTTTAGCACCTTCATTCTGCTCTCCGTATTTGGCGATCGTGTGGACATCTTCTGTATCATCTACAAAAACCATGGACAGACGATTTTCATCAATATACAAGAGCTATGTAGTTGAAGATTTTTTGTAAAAGTGAAGAAGACAGCAACCTTGAAATGAGCACCACAGCCCTACCATGGGATTCACCTCGCAACTGTTGCCTAATTCAACAGCTCGTGCAGCAAATTCCTTCCCAAATCGTGAAGTGAAGACCGCATGTATCTCTTGGAGCTCTGGAAACTCGCCACATCTTGAAACAGCAAAAATCAAACTTGATATCGCCTCCTTCAACTCATCAGGTCATTCTCTGTAGAGAGGTGAAACAAACATGTGCATCAAAAAAACGAGAGCTCAGAAGTCAAAATTAACCAAACTGTTGTACTGTTTATCTAGCAACAACCCAGACCATCTGATCAATACCAAATCTTAAACAACTGAAAGTGATGAGAAGAAAACTCACTTGTTGTTCTCAATGAGGACGATCCTTTCTATCAGGAGATTGCAGTATCCCTCAATCATAACAAACACGTCCAGCATGTTCTGGTCTTTGATCACATGCTCAACCTGTTCAAAGGTGACATGAGAGATGAGACATCAAGCAATGGCGTCATGGGCAATTGAAGAGGAGTTTGATGAGTTGAGAGGGAGCGAGAGAGAAAGTTATTTGGCAGGGAACTTACACCAAGGATAGCACGTTCATGGTGTCCGAGGTTGAGAAGCTGAACGACATCGGAGCGTGCTTGAGAGCAGCGAACCTGACGCTGGTTCCTCCAGTCTTCCAAAGACTGCCTCTTCTTCAGCTTCCTCTCCGCCGATGATTTCTGAGACTCCGCATCTTCTCTGTCTTCCTTGATCGTAAACAAAACCCTTGATGGTCTGTATAATCCGTGCCATTTCAGCGAGTCCACAAGCTCCGGAGCCGCATCCTGCGCATCGGAGGCCAGGCAAGTTCTCCATGGAGTTCTTTCGCCGGAACAAAGAAAACAAAAAGAACAAAGAGGGAGAGAAAGGGAGGCATAGAGAGTATCAAAGAAAGAAAGAGATGAGAGTTTGAGCGGAGGGAGACAAAATTATGGACACGTGTGTGTCATGCAATGAACTATCATTGGGATTGTTCACTGGGATGCGATCGGACTGCTCTCTCTTAACATGATTGGGTTGCTCTCACGTAATGTATAGTCTAGATGACATGCACGTGTGAGTTTATTATGACACACATTCTGGCTACAAGAAGATTACATTTTGCGAAAGGGAGAGCATATGGGGCCCCGCGTTGTAGGGACTCGCTCATATTAGGCTCAAGCTCGAGTGGAATTAGAGATTTGAGATCGAGCTTGATTCCAACTCAAATCAAAAGCTCAAAAGTTTGAACTTAGTTATTTTTTATTACAAGTTTTTTAAACAAACGAGGCTTTGAGCCGAGGTCCCCCAATTACTGAGGTGTCAAATTTGAGATTGAGCTCGAGTCTAACTCGAGTCAAAAACTCGAAACTTCGAACTTAGCTACCTTTGATTTCAAGTCCCTCAAGCAACCGAGGTCTTCCTCAATTGCTGAGGTGCCAAACCGAGGTCTCCCTCAACGGCTGAAGTGTCGAGAGGAGGTTTCCTAGCAAGCGAGGTGTTGAGCTAAGGTCTCCCTTAGTTGACAAGGTGCCAAGTTGAGGTCTCCCTTAATTGATAAGGTGCCGAGCTGAGGTCTCCCTTAGTTGTCAAGGTGTTGAGCCAAGATCTCCCTCAGTGATCGAGGTGCCGAGCCAAGGTCTCCCTTAGTGGTCGAGGTATCGTCTAGCTCGAGCTCGATTCGAATTAGAGACTTGAGCTTGAGCTCAGAGGTTCGAACTCGACTTAGCTCGAACCCGACTACCTTTGATTGCATGTCCCCTAGCAGCCAAGATGCCGAGCTGAGGTCTCCTTCAGTTGGAGAGAGAGTGACATTCTTGTAATTTATAAGGAGAGAGAGAGATGACATTATTGTAAATTAAAAGAAAAAAAGAGGGAGAGAGAGTTAGTAGGAGAGAGTAGCATTCTTGTAATTTGAAAGAAAAAAAGCAAGAGAATTGATAGAGTAGCATTCTTGTAATTTCTAAGAAAGAAAGGCAAAAAATACTATTAAGTTCCATTTCCTTCATCCTTAGGCCTTCTTACGTACACATTTCAACTTAATATATATACTAGCAGAAAGGGCCCGTGCTCATGGCAAGGAAACAATTTTGAATAATTCTTTATTGAATAATTGGGAGATTAAAATTGAAGGAAGAAGTTAATATGCGTTGCAAGAGCTTAGACAAATTAAATTATTATATAGAAAAAAAGAAATTGAGAACGTATTTTTTAGTGAAAGCATCAAAGTTACTTAAAATAAATTAAAATTTATATCTAATAATACCGGTGAGAACCTCATGTTGAAATGGTTGCAGAAATAGGTTTTTAATTAGTTTTTGGGTAAATTATTTCTGAAATTAAGGTAGAGAGAGTGGGTTATAAAAAAAATAAGTCTGTATTTCTGGATATTAAGGTAAAATTAAATTAAGGCAAGTCCTTTTTTCTGAAAATTAAGGTAGAGAGAAAGTAGGTTATAAAAGGGATAGGTAGACTGTATTGCTCTTCAGAAATTTGAATTTATAACCCCCACCTAATCTACTAGTAGCCCCCCTATAAACCGCCTCTGCACCTACAACAAAAGACATTGGTTAAATGTGATGGCAAAATACACCCAATTAAATGTATGAAAACTTTAATGTAATTGGTTGATATCTAGATTTACGGTGCAATTAACATGTATTAGTAAATGCACCTTTAATTTTAATTTTAAGTGTAAACTAACTATACCCTTACTATTTTAATTTTAATTTTAAGTGTAATTGGTTGATATCGTTAGGATATTTCGTCACAATTCATACACATACACGTGATCTCACGTGACCTATAATTTTTTTCAAAATCCAATATTACCCTATCGAAGAAGAAGGTTATGAATTAACTCTGGCTTGCCTGGAAATCGAACGGCTGATCTGAGTTGCCCTCCCGTTCCAACACTCCATTTTGCGACAGCAGCGTTCGAGGATGCCATGAACGGCTGATTGAGTTGACTTCAAGGATCATAGAGAACAACTCCATTTTGCGACAGCAGTGCTCGAAATTCTACAGTTTCTGTCAAAATTCGAGCTCCATTAATGGCGTATGCACAAATGCCCCGAGCAAAGTTGCAGAGCTTTGTAGCGATGCTTACTATAGAGAGGTAAGAGCTTGCCGTACGCCTTCAGGGAGAAGGAAGAGCTGAACAGGAAGGAGGACTTTGGGCTTCGGAATTCGAAGCTCAAAAACTAGAGTAGGAAACAACGCCATAGGAAATCTGGTTTCGCGAGAAGTTATACTTTGGAGGAGGTCTTCTCGTCGTTCCAAGCTGCTTTAATGGGTCTTCAATCGACACCTGAGGTGAAATTTTGCTAATAGATTCAGTATTATAAAGAAGAATTTTTTTATGAATTCTGCTCAGTCTCCCATGGAATTCGATACCATGGCTTGTTTCTTTGATCCCACCACTTTTTCTATAATTCTGCTCAGTCTCCCAAGGAGAAGTTTTTTATGAATTCTGGAAGCCCACCTCCTTTGAACAGGTGCTATTTTTGTTGGTGGTCTCTAAACACCTGTTGGATTTAGGGAAAGGCAGGACCTTCTACGATTCCGTCTCCAAATGGCTGACTGCCATGACGAAAAAGAAACAGGAAAGGGGGAGGGGGGGAGAGGAGAGTACAGGTCGAGAGAGGTTTTCTCAGAACACATAATACAAGTTTTCTACTGCAACTGTTCCGTCTCCGAATCCTTCCAAATCGCTTCCACTTTTGTCATTCTGTTACTGCACAAAGGCAAGTTCTTTTCCTCTTGACAGCAGCTGTAATTGGGTGAAATGGGAAACATGCTCTTCTCTAATTACAGAGTCCAGGATTCTTGTCAATTAAAATCAAATTTGTCCCCATAAATGTGGTTAGGATTTTGATGTACCAATGTTTTTTTCCTTTATTTTATTTAATTTTGAAAATTTAAAGAAAAATAAAGGGTAAAATTGTCTTTTTATTTTTTAGCGCACTAACAATAAGGGAAATATTAGTCAATTGTCAGAAACAACAGGGATAGTGTTAGTCAATTTTCAAACAGTAAAGATACACTTAATCAATTAGCTAAACCATAAGAGTAATTTAAGAAATTTACCCTACTTCACCCATGGAAATGCTCTGCTTCTTTTTCCATTAATCAAACATCTGAAGCTCCTCAGTTTTCATGATCTTACCTTCTTGAGGTAAATTTGCTTCCGCACATTTACCTTTTAATTATTTATTTTCTACCAATTTTTTCACATATATAGGATATTTAAATATGCATTGAATATATAATTTCCATGCATAGAAATGCAGGTGTACATGAGGCCAAGGTCTTAAACTGGACCTTAATTCCTCATGGAAGTGGAACAAATTCATGGATGTTTTTGGATGGAACATTATGCTACTTCTAGCCAATAAACTTTTCCTTGGGCTTCCAAAAGCATCCATGAATTTGTTCCTGATGTAGCGTGATCTGGTCACTCCTAGCTGGTAGAGGCCTCGCTCCTACCTGGCGACGGATGGCACTTGAGAAGGAGAAGAAGATGAAGGATTCCCAAGGAGATTGTCCGGCGAGAACACTCCAATGCTTAAGTTAGAACTCGATGGAGAGCTTAGAGAGTTGTAAAGGAAAATGAGCTAAGACTGGAGATGCGCACTTACTCAAAAAATTAATCCCCTTGCCACTTGGAAATCGGGGCCTTTATATACTAATACTCTATCAAATCGGGTGTAACCGCCTCTGATTCTCTACTATAGCCGTTATTCGCCAGGCTGATTCGACTGGTGCAGATAACCGTCGCAGAGTACAATCTTGTCAGTTGAGAGACGTTATGCAGAGTTGGTGTGCACGACGCCGCTTGAAGTGAGACGTGGGCGCAGTCCTCTGGACTGGCAGGTGCTGCACTGCCAAACAAGAGACGTGGGAGCAGTATGACAGGTACGGTCTTGTCAGATAAGAAGTTTTCCAAAGACTCTGGGTTAATCAATAGTGAGCTCCTTTGTAGCGAGCTCCTTCGTAGCGAGCTCCAATAGCGAGCTGTCTTGTGGCGATATGTTCTGCTGGGATTTCAACGAGCTCATTACGCCGAGTTGTGGCCAAGCTGTCATGCTGAGTTGTTGCTTACGTCGAGTCATGTCCACGTGTCACCTGGTTAGGAGGTCGGGTCAAATCACCCCCCATCAATTGCCCCCCACTCCTCGGGCTAAGGGTTTTGCTCTAGTGCGGGGAGTTCACGAAATGACGGGTGGATTTGACCCACAATTCAAATTGCTCTGACCGGCCACGTGTGATTTTCAGGTTTTTTGGGCACCAAAAAACGCATCAAACTGCCTTCAGTTTCGGAAGATGTGCGACCGTCTTTATTGGGAGCCGTTGGATTCACTTTAATCGGAGCCGTTGGCTTTCAGGCATAGTGGCTATAAATAGGAAGGCCCCATGCCTCATTTTTTACGCCAACTTGCCTTGCTTCTGGTTTTGAGGTCATGCCTTCGTCGTGTTTACTCGAGCTCTCCCCGTTCGCGTCGCTTTCTCAATTCATTTCTTCTGGTGAGTCCCCTGTCTTCTCCAATAATGTCTGGGTACCCATGGGACGGTAACCAGGGCAAGGTCCCCTCGAGCTCGGGGGGCGCTTGGGGTTTCCTCGAGGGACGATCTCTAGAGGCTCGGGAAGCCTTCGGTAATTTGGCTTCCACTTCGGGAGCCGGATAGCTTTGGCCCTTCCTCCATGTCAATGGAGAGACTTCAGGCCCTAGTTGATGTACTCTCCCGGGCTGTTAGGCCCTTTTTTTGTTTATAAGAACTAGTAATGAAATGTTCCTCTCTTTTTTTGCTAAGTGTTATGTGATTTACTCTTTTGCCGAAGTGACTATTTCACTCGAAATGTTAGGGCTAAGTACCCGAAGGGTTTCTTGACTATCGTCACCCCGAGCTGTCTCCCCGTACTTAGCAGGGGTGATTTTAGGATGTACACCGGGGTGAGCAACATAGTAAGGCATATGCCCGACTTGTCTACA